TGTAGCCATGTAGACCAGGCTTGAACTCACAGAGATTCACCTACCTCTGCTTCCTGAGTGCTGGGATTAAAGGTGTGCGCCACCACCACCTGGCTGCTGTTGTTATTTTGTTTGGTTTTTGAGACATGGTCTCTTTGACTCTCCTGGGAGTCTGCTATATAGATTAGGCTGGCCTCCAAATCACAGATATATCCTCCTGCCTCTGCCTCCACAATGTTAGGATTAAAGGCATGTGCCACCATACCCAGGTATTTTTACTTTATGTGTATGAAAGTTTGCCTGTATGTACGTCTGTGTACCACATATGTACAGGGCCAGAAGAAGTCAGAAGGGGGCATTGTGTCCTCTAGAAATGGAGTTACATGAAGCTATGAGTTGTCATGTGGGTGCTGGGAGCTAAACCCTGGACCCTGGAAGAGAAACAAATGCTCTTAACCTCTGAGCTGTCTCTCAGGAAGGGGTATGGTCTTCTTAACGGAAAGTCACTATAAAAAAAAAATGGGATTTCTTCTGACTAGAAAATTGTACGTTTACAGCTGGGGAGAGAGAAAGACCCTAAGAAGATGTTAATTGTGTTGGAATCCTTGATTCTCAACTGACGAAAGACTTGAGCCAGACTCCGGGGTGAGGGAGTCCTTTTCCTTTACATGTCTAGAACGTCCCCTATCTTTCTCTCCTGCTTCACAGGCATGCTCAGCCTCACCTGCATACATGACACTTTCACACAGTCCCAGTGTGCAAGCCTCAGCCTGCTCACACTTCAGCCCTAACTCTGTCTGACTGGAGCCAGAGCCAAGCAATGGAAACCTCCATGAGCCTTCCTGGCTCCAGTTCATATTGGTGACCCAGCTCTGTCCTCCCGGCTCTGCCCCTAGATCCCGGTGGGACCCTGTATGACAGGCTGTCTATATTATTTCCTTATCGTTGGTCTTCTTAGCTCTCCCACAGGCTTTGTTCTGAAGAACCTGAAACCTGCTTCATCTCTCCCTTGGGCCATGGGCTGTGCCCGAGACATGTTGGCAAGCCATGAACCCTTTATCAGGGCCCCATATTGCAACCCACATAAGTTCCTGGATCAGTCCTGGGGCAGCAGGGGACAAAGGACCTTTAAAGTGTATAGTATAATGAAGTGGCCTCTCACAGATCCCGATCTAACTCAGTTGGCCTACCAAAGAGACTAAGGCTGGTGTGCTGGTGGGGAAAGCAAACCTGCTCAGGGAGGACAGGAGTGGGCTTGTCTACTGTCTAGATACAGTGACCACCCACTGGCCTAAGGACATGGGTGAGCCTATGCGTCATCCTTGCACCCAGCCAGAGCTTGATCCCTCAGCCCCTCCAGTCTTTAGTGCTCAGATGTGGCCTAGAGCAAATGATGAAGCAGCCCACGCACGCCAGGGCTGTTGACATTCTTTCCTTCCACCCCTGGGAAGGAAGCAGCAGGGTCTACCTGGATGAGCATAACCCAAGGCACCTTCCTTATCCTGCCCGGTGGCAGCCTAGTGGTACTGAAGGCATACAGTGGGAGCTGACAGCATCCATCCTGATCTAAGTGTCCCCTCTATATAAAGATCAGGGCTCTCTGTGTGTCACTGCTGTCTCTGGATGGAGTGACAGCTAAGCCTAGTGTTCAACAAACCTCTCTTTATTCCCAGGGATCTGAAGCAATTGCTCCATTCCACAGCACACAGCTGGGAAACCTCAGCCAGCTGCAGAAGGGAAGGCCTGGCATTTAGGGGAACTCCTTCATGGAATCACTGTTGGATTGCAGGTGTCCCTTAGTCATGGATGGGCCACAGATATCCTTGTTATAAAATTTTCTTTCCAGGATGTGGTATGACAGAGAAAAGGAGCAGAGCTTGGGGCTGGAATGTCCTCCACCTACTTGAAGACTCAGGCAAGAGCCTTCTGGGGACAGCAATAAGACCCTGGAGTGTCTAATCCCAGAGAGAAGAACGGTCTATGTGATTTATTGAGATCTACTGGGCTACTAGCCAGAGAAGAGTGCTAAGGACAACCTGGGTTGGGGGTCTCTGGGCCACAGTAAAACTGGAGACCACATCCTGTGGCCAGTGAGGATGGCCAATTTTGAGCTCATGCTTGGCCTAAGACCTTGGTAGGAGGCCACAGGCTGAGGCAGCACACTTGTGAAGAGCATTTCTCCATGCAGCGGACCTCACATCCCTGTGGAGTAGCCTGGGGTTCACACACTGGGACATTGTTAGCATGTGGGTACAACCCCTGGTTCCACTCACAACTGACCCAACCCCTTTGGTCTCATTTCTTATTTTAATATATTAAAACATTTATTAATTTATTTTTTTACATTCTAATCCTAGTTCCCCATCCCTCCTCTCCTCCTGCTCCCCCCACCTCCCATCTACTCCTTGGAGAGGGTAAGCCCTCCCCTAGGAAGTCTACCATCATCTCGTTGAGGAAGGACCAAGGTACCCGTCCCCATGTCTAGGCTGAGTAAGGTATCTCTTCCACAGAGAATGGGCTCCACTAAGTCAGTTTGTGCAGAAGAGTTAGATCTTGGATCTACTGCCAGTGGCCTCATCTATTGTCCCACCCGCACCATTGTCACGTATATTAAGGGAGTCTAGTTTGGTCTTATGCAGGTTCCCCAGTTGTCAGCCCTGAGTCAGTGATCTCTCACTAGCTCTGGTCAGCTGTTCTGTGGGTTTCCCCATCACGGTCTTGACTCCTTTGTTCATATTATCGCTCCTCCCTCACTTTGATTGTGCTCCGGGAGCTCAGTCCAATGATTAGCTGTGGATTTCTGCGTCTGCTCCTGTCTGTTTCTGGGGAGAATGAACCCCCATAAGTTGTCACTTGGCCTCCACATGTACACCTTGGCATCTGTGCGTGTGGACAGGCACACACACACAATAAAAAGTGTTCTGGCTTCTCTGGGATTGTGAATTGTTGGCTGGGTATCTTTTGCTTTATGTCTGATATCCACTTATGAGTGAATACATACTATATTTGTCTTTCTGGGTCTCAGTTACCTCACTCAGGATGTTTTCATTTTTCTAGTTCTGTTCATTTGCCTGAAAATTTTAGGATATTGTTTCTTAGGGCTGAGTAGTACTCCATTGTGTAAATGTACCACATTTTCTTTGTCCATTCTTCAGTTGAGGAGCATCTAGGCTGTTTCCAAGTTCTGGTAATTACAAATAATGTTGCTATGAACATTGTTGAGCAAATGTCTTTGTGGTGTGAGTGTGCCTCCTTTGGGTATATGCCCAACAGTGGTATTGCAGGGTCTTGAGGTAGGTTGATTGCTGATTTTCTGAGAAATCGCCTTAATGATTTCCACAGCGACTGTACAAGTGTACACTTCTATCAGCAGCGGAGAAGTATTTCCCTTACTCCACATCCTCTCTAGCATAAGCTGTCAATGGTATTTTTGATCTTAGCCATTCTGACTGGTGTAAGATGGTTTCTTGTTTTGATTTGCATTTCCCTGGCGATTAAGGATGTTGAGCATTTCCTCAAGTATCTTTCTGCCATTTGAGATTGTTCTATTGGGAATTCTCTGTTTAGATTTGTACCCCACTTTTTAATTGGATTATTTGGTAGTTTTATGTCTGGTTTCTTGAGTTCCCTGTATATTTTGGAGATCAGCCCTCTGTCAGATGTGGGGTTGGTGAAGATCTTTTTCCCTTCTGCAGGGTGCAATTTTGTCTTGTTGACAGTGTCCTTTGCTTTACAGAAGCTTCTCAGTTTCAGGAGGTCCCATTTATTAATTGTTGCTCTCAGTGTCTGTGCTACCCGTGTTCTATTTAGGAGGTGGTCTCCTGAGCCAATACATTCAAGGGTACTTCCCACTTCCTCTTCTATGAGGTTTAGTGTGGACGGATTTAAATTGAGGTCTTTGATCCATTTGGATTTGAGTTTTGTGCATGGCAATAGATATGGATCTATCTGCAGTCTTCTACATGTCCACAGCCAGTTATACCAGCACCATTTGTTGAATATGCTTTCTTTTTTCCATTTTATATGTTTAGCGTCTTTGTCAAAAAATTAGGTATTCATAGGTATGTGGGGTTTTTTAAGGGTTTTCGATTTGATTCCATTGGTTTACTTGTTTTTATGCCAATACCAAGCTGTTTTCATGACTATAGCTCTATAATAGAGGTTGAAGTCAGGGATGGTGATGCCCCCAGATGATTCTTTATTGTACAGGGTTGTTTTGGCTATCGTGGGTTTTTTGTTTTTCCATATGAAGGTGAGTATTGTTCTTTCCATGTCTGTGAAGAATTGTGCTGGGATTTTGATGGGGATTGCACAGAAACTGTAGATTACTTTTGGTAGGATTGCCATTTTTACTATGGTGATCCTATCTATCCAAGAGCACGGGAGATCTTTCCATTTTCTGATATCTTCTTTCGTTTCTTTAAAGACTTAAAGTTCTTGTCACACAGGTCTCTCACTTGTTTGGTTAGAGTTACCCCAAGATATCTTACATTATTTGTGGCTATTGTAAAGGTGATGTTTCTCTGATTTCTTTCTCAGCCATTTATCATCTGTATATAGGAGGCTACTGATTTTTTTTTGAGTTAGTCTTGTATCCTGCTACATTTCTGAAGGTGTTTATCAGCTGTAGGAGTTCTCTGGTAGAATTTTTGGGGTCACTTATGTAAACTATCCTATCATCAGCAAATAGAATTTGACTTCTTTTCCAATTTGTATCCCCTTGATCTCTTTTGTCATCTTACTGTCTAGCTAGAATGGTCTCATTTCTTAGTAGGAGGAGGTAATGACCACTGCTCTGTAGAGTCACCATGACAATAAGGTATGTCAGGCCCTACCACAAGGCCAGGTGCATGGTAAGAGTATGGAATTGTTAATTACTGTTCCCCTCCTTCTTTCCTTCCAAGACTCAAGTTTAGTCAAATGACCTCATATAAACTCTCTGAGTAATGAGTTTGTTGTTGGTGGTTTTTTTTTTTTTTTGGTTTTGTTTTGTTTTTTGAGATAGGCTTTCTCTGTGTAGCTTTGGAGCCTGTCCTAGAACTCACTCTGTAGACCAGCCTGGCCCTGAACTCAAAGAGATCCGCCTGCCTCTGCCTCCTGAGTGCCAGGATTAAAGGTGTGCACCACCACCACCTGTTGAATAATGCATTTGTAAACAAGCTCAACCACCTCCATCCTTGTGAGAAGAGGCCAGTGTGTTGAAAAGTCCTTGGAAATTGCTAGATTTGGTGACAAAACCTCACTGGCTTCATTGGCAATGAGAGGTAGGGCAGCTGTCAGTAATCTAGGACCTCATCTACTCTCAGGGGGCCAGTAACGTGTGTAGAGGCCAGAACTCAGTAAGTGTTTTCTTCACTTGCTCTCCACCTTCTCTTTTGAGACAGGATCTCTCACGGACTCAGATGCTCATCAGTACTGGTGGCTAATCTCCCTGTTTTCTATGTGGGTGCTGGGGATCTGTGTGGTGGGCACTCTACCAACTAAGCCATCTTCCCAGCCCCTGCAACTGAGAGATTTTTGTGGCAGCTGTAGGAGGTATATGTGGCTATGACTGGATTCCATGCCAGGTGAGCAGAACTGTGTGAGCTCGGAAGCTGGGGAGGCTCCCTGGCCCCTTGGTGCTGCTTCACCTGTGACTCTCTTGTGAGCTGTCCTGTGTTTCTTGCTCTACTTCCTCACCAGGGTCCCCCATCTCAGGGCCCCTGCCTGGTTAAGACTTACAGATGAATGTTAGATCAAGGTTGGTGTCTCCAGACCCTATACACCAGGGCCTGCACCAGACCTGAGGTTTCCTTTCATTAGAATCACAAGGAGGTGCTATCTTTTATTTTATTTTTTGAGACAAAGCCTCAGAAGCCTGGAACTCACTATGTAGACCAGGCTGGCCTTGAACTCAGAGACCTGCCAGTTTCTGCTGCCCAGTACTGGGATCACAGGAGGGAGACACCTTGCCTGTCACTGGCAGTTTGTCTTTTCTAGCTGGGCTGTTGGAGCAAGCTTGTAGCTGAATGGGGTGGTCATCACACTCTGGGCTGAGAAATCACTGCTTCATAACCCTGACATTCTGAAAGGTCTAGAATTGGGGGAGGGGTGAACTGGGTGCTTACCCGTATTATTCCCCACAGAAGATCTGCTACTTGTCAAATGTTAATTGTCTGCTGGGTGCTGAAGGCAGCTGCTTCTTCCAAGCCCATTTAAGACCCCAAGGAAGGCCAGTAAGATGGCTCAGTGGGTAGCCCTGTTTGTTGCCAAGGCTGAAAACCTGGGTTCAAAGTTCAGAACTCATATAGAAGTAGAGAAGCAGCTCTGGAAAGCTGACCTTTGACTTTCTACATGTGCATGCTATGGCAAATGCCCATCCCCTCCCATGCTGAGGCATGAACATCCCTCCTCAAAAGAGAGAGAGAGGGGGGGGAGAAGGAGGAGAGGGAGGAGAGGAAGAGGTTAAAAAAGGAAAAGGGCATTGCAATGGTTAAAAACAAACAAAATCAAAAGACCCTTGGAGAAAGAAGCACTGCTGAGTCCCCATGAAGTCCCTGGGTTCTTCCAAAGCACCACAGGGTTTCCTGATTTGCCAGTCCCCTAGTGTGTGTCCAGTGTCCCCTGGAGCCATCATTGCCAGAACAGCTTTAGGAGAAAAGAATGGTCACCTGTTTCCCAATAGGACCCTGAGGTCCCAAATAACTTACCCAAAGTCACCCAGTTAGTAAGATGGCAACTGGTATGACACCCTCTCCTTTGGGGGACAGTTATTAATCTTTCAAACTCATTCTACATTAAGAACACAGATTTGAGCTGGGCCTGGTAGTGTAGACTTATAATCCCTACCTGGAGGCTGAGGCTGGAGAGTCAAAAATTCAAGGCCTGACTGGCTACAGAGCAAGGCCAAGGTCAGCTGGATGATTGAACAAGCACCTATCCAAAAATGAGTAAAAAGAGGGCTGAAGATATAACTCAGTGGTAAAGTGTTTGCTTAGCATGCACAAGAACCTAGGTTCAAGCCCAACAAAATAAAATGGGGCTGGGATGTCAGTTGGTAGTGCTTTTCTAACATGCAGGAAGCCCTGGATTCTGTAGTTACAAGGTCAGCCTAGATACATAAGACCTTTTTGTAACACACACACACACACACACACACAGAGAGAGGGGGGGGAGACTTAGGCTGTTCAGTGTCCTCACTTACTAGGGACCAGTTGATGTCTTTGAGCAAAATTAGTCCTTCCTTCTGTGTTGTTTCCACCTCTGCAAAGCACAAGCATCTGTCGCCCCATCTCACCATGGCCATGAGAATTAAACAGTGTGGCTTCAGAAGTAAGGACTGCTACCTATCTACTGTTTTCATAGCACCCAGTCTCTCCTAGGCTCTTTACTATGTCAGTTCATTGAATCCTTACTTATATTTTCAGAAGAAGAAATGGAGGCCAGAGGTTGCAATTTCTCTAAAAATTGCAGGACAAGAAGAGGATGGTGATAGTAAGAGGATGGTAGGAGCTCAACCATAGCTGCTTTTGGCAATTCACACAGCAGGTTCATGGTAAGAACTGTCCTGTCCCTGTGGTGGCCCTTGGTGCTGGTAAACACGCACTCCCTCTCGGTCCTGGATGGTAGGTAGCATCCCTACACATAGAGATTATGGGACCTGTGTGCTGCCCCTGGTCTTTACAAGGACCTAGATGGGGGAGGTACAGCTGCCTCCAGGCACCTGCAGCGGGTCCCGGCCATCTAAGGGAATAGGTAGGTGGTGGGCGGAGCCGGGCGGGGCCTCCGCCGAGCCCGTAAAAGCTGCGCAGGATGGAGCTTCGGCACTGACATCTGCAGCTATGGAGCGTCCTCACTTCCCGCTGGCGATGGGCCTGGCCCTGCTCGCATTCTGCCTCCTGACTCTGTCCTCGGACGCCCGCGCCGAGCTTCGGAGTCGCAGGACCGGAGAACGCCAGACCATGTCTCCCAACGACCCGCTGGTGCAGAAGGCCGCGCAGGCAGCTGTGAGCAGCTACAATATGGGCAGCAACAGCCTCTACTACTTCCGAGACACCAGAATCCTCGATGCACAGTGTCAGGTGTGGTGGCTGGTGGTTGTGGGACAGACGTAGCTGTGGAGAGGGAGAGGAACGGGGACAGGCCAGAGAGCTGCTGGCCCACTACCAAACACAAGAGGGCACTAAGCCAACCATAACTTAAACAAAAATAGATGAATGGCAAAACCTATGGCAACCAACGTTATTTAATATCAAAAAGAAAATTGCAGGGATTCAACCTCTTTTGGCATAACTAACCCAGCCAGATGGAGTGGGAGGGCCCAGACAGTAGGTGTCATGTGCCATTCTCTACATCTGCCCTAGCTGTGGACAGGGGCTCGTCAGCCACCTGCCGGGCCTAGGGCTCTACCTCTACCCCTGGGTCACACCTAGAAACCCCCACCTCCACTTCAGGTCTGAATTCTTAGGCCATAGTGTTGTTTGCCAGGTGGACTTGAAGACTTAGAGGGAAAAAGTAGACACCCAGGCTAAGCTCCCAGGCATTTCTGACCTGCCCTATCTTGTTCCCAGCTGGTGGCTGGCCTCAAGTGCTACCTGACTATGGACTTAGAGAGCACGGAGTGCAGAAAGACCAGAGTCTCTGGGGACCACACGGATCTCACCGCTTGCCCCCTGGCTGCAGGGGTACAGCAGGAGGTAACAGCATTGACCCCCCAGCCCAGCCCTCTGCAGAGCCTGAGGCCCTTAGCTTGTCCATCCTGACTAGTCCACCTGGCCTGGCTGGACCTGTCCTGACTGGTCTTTGTGTGACTCAGGCCAGGGTGAGGTGCAGGGAGGAGAGACCGGGGCTTCTTGGGGTGGGAGTTGCCTGATAGATCTGGGGCCATCTCCTGCCAGCTGACTTCATGTTTTGGTACCACTGATGGTCTATCCCTGGCTCCAGAGAGATGTGGCAGGCAGAAGGCTGACTACTGGGAGGAGGAGGCTGGCACCAAGCTCACCCTCCTTGTCCACTGTGTTCCCTCCTCAGAAGCTGCGCTGCCGCTTTGAGGTCCTTCAAGTCCCCTGGAAGAACACCACTCAGCTTCTAAAGCATGACTGTATGCAGGTGTAACCTGCCCCAGGGTGACAGTGGCGAGACTCCATGGGAAGAAGCATGGTGGTGGAGGCACCTCAGGTCCACAGGCCACATCGGCTACAATAAATTCTTAGTGCTGTTTCTTGCATTCGTCCCTCCTGTGTGCTTCACTCACCCTGACTCTCATGCGAGTCCCAACGACTCTCAACTCTGCAGTTGACAGGGCCCTGTGCTCTTAACCCCCAGAGAGCCTCTGTGACCCATCTGAGGCAGTGCTGAGGTGCAATCCTCAAATGGGAAGCCACTCTTTAGACACTTGCAGTAGATTCAGAGGTTAGGGAGAAGGAAACGCCAGCACTTGGAGCAGTGTAAGGTGTGTGGGTTCAACTCTATGGGCTCCAGGGTACTGGGCTCCCAGGCTACAAGGAACACTCCTTCAGTGTTCCCATAGGCCAAGAGGCCACAAAACAAGTAACATGCCTTGCACAACCTCCCCAGAGGTATTTTGCTCAGTGTTTTGCTCTGGGCAAGATTCCTAAAAGAACCTGGGCCATGGAACACCAGAGGGGACAAGAGCAAAGCTGCTACCCTGGAGGGTTTCCCTCACAGGAAGGAACAGGGACCCTTCAATGTCATGTTGGATTGGAGGAGACAGGTATTACATTCTTTGTGATTACAGTTTTTTTTATACACACAGTCAGATGGGGAGGGCAGTCACAGAACCCACTCAGGTGCTCGTAGATATTACAGACATGCCCACCCCCCATGCTAGTAACACAGCTTAGAAACACACAAGCAGACACAACAGGAAAGTGCATGCCCCAGAGAAGCAGGAAGTAACCTAGAGATGAGTACCCAACCACCCAAGCCAGCACTTGAGTCATGTCCAGAAGTGCTCCCACATACTAACAAGCATCTACCCCGGGGACAGGCCACAATCACTGGTTGCTTTGGGAGTGCTAGGAGGTGCTAGGCTCAAGCGGGCATCACAGGGGTGGTGTGCAGAGTAGGCAGACAGCCACTCTTCATCTTTATGCCTTCTCCTTCTAAGGAAGGCCTCACACCTAACTTGCTCCTATCTGATGCTCCTCCTCCCATCCAAAAGCCACATCTGTGAGGGAATGGAGACGGAGTGCCACCTGGGAAGCCTGACACACTGAGGGGTTGGACTTGATATTGACACAGTGGACAACTTGCAGCCCTGCTTCTGCTGGAACCTGATACCCATGGCAGTTCAGTTTGAGCTGTGTAGTCACCGCTTGGAAGTTTTCCCAAGTTTTGTCAAGCAGGAGATAGCAGCATGGAGCCAGTACAGGGCAAATGGCAGGAAATACTTGTTGAATGAATGTGTGAGGCCTGGGGAGAGGCAAGACTCAAGGAAGCCTGGGTAGAGGTTTCTCCACCCCTGGAATCTGTGCCCAAATCTCAGATGGCATTTCCCCTGCTTGGTATATTCCTGGGCCTGGGCATGACTAAGCAAGGTTAGAGAGAGGAGTTTCCACCAAGTGATGTTTCTGTTGTAAGGTCCCAGTGATTGCACTGCTTCCTGGCAAAGACATGTGGTCTGTGTGGGTGTTGGCCAAACCATCCTCCAGTTCCCATTCTGGGGTCCCTCCAGCCTACATGACCCCCTTAGAGTAAGGTGGTTATAAATGATGGAAGGTGGCTAGCCCTTGATGAGGAGCCCTGGGGCCAGAACTAAACTTCACTTTAATTTAGTACTTACTACAGGAAGTCCCCCTGTGTATACAGGGACTCTGAACATGCTTCTGGGACGCAGGCAGTGCATGTGGGACTCACCCAAGCCCTAAAGCAGCCTGAGCAGCAGCAGACATTTTCTGTGGCCCTCTCCCAACAGGAGCTGGTCCATGTCACTTGGCCCTGTCCCCATCTGCTCTGAGGCCAGGAGCACAAGAGGCCTCTTCTGCCCCTTCACTAGATTTTGTAGTCTTCAGGTGGGGAAAGGGATGTCAATGACCTTTAACCTCTAGGGGTTTTGGAATATTCATATGCATGCATGTGTGTCTGTGTGTGGGTTGAGCATGTGAGTGGAGGCTAAAAGAAACCGTCAGATCCCTTTGAGCTGAAATATAGGTGGCTGTAATCAGTCTGATGTGGGTGCTGGGAACTGAACTTGGGTCCTCTGTCACACCAGCTCTTCCCCTCTTCCCCCCTCCCTCCCTCCCTCCCTCCCTCCCTTCTTCTCAACCTCTGTGTTCTTATTTATTTATTGATTGATTGATTTTTCAGCACAGGGTTTCTCCGTGTATCCCTGGCTGTCCTGAAACTCACTCTGTAGACCTGGCTGGCTTTGAACTCAGAGATCCCTCTGCCTCTGCCTCGTGAGTGCTGGCATTAAAGGTATGTGCCACCATCCACCTTTTTGTTAATATTCCCCCTGGGATGGTAGCCTTGAGTTAGATGCTGGGTTCCTAGTAAGCCTGAGTTCCTGAGTGCTGGGCCTCATGCCTGGTGTCTGATACAGTCCTAATAATTCTGGGATGTTCCAGTCTGTTCTTTTTCTCCCGACCCCAGGCCAGACAGCACATAAGCAGAGGACTTCACATTTGGTCTTTCATCAGCATCCCAGTCTCCTTTGGTTTGTTCTGGTTTTTGTTTTTTTGAGATAGGGTTTCTCTGTGTAACAGTCCTGAATATCCTGGAACTAAAGGTGTGCGCCGCCACCGCTGGCAAAGGCCCCTCTTTCTGTGTCATCGTTCTGATCTCTTCTAATGCATTGTTGGACTGAGCAGGGAGGCCAAGACCTGGTGAAGCCAAAAGAGCTCCAAAAAGAGCCCCTTCCACATGCAACTCTTTTTTTTTGTTTGTTTTTTGTTTTTTGAGATAGGGTTTCTCTGTGTAGCTTTGGATGCTGTCCTGGCACTCGCTCTAGAGACCAGGCCGGATTCGAACTCACAGAGATCCGCCTGCCTCTGCCTCCTGAGTGCTGGGATTAAAGGCATGCAACACCAACGCCCAGCACACATGCAACTCTTGACATATGCCTGCAGCACACTGTCTAACTCCCCTTGCTCTTTGCTTCAGGCTAGCCAGTGAGGACACAGAGCCACTTGGGTTTTTTAAAAAAACTCTGTTGGGATCTCAGTCCAGCACAGTTCTGGATAATAATGCCAGCAGAGCTAGGGACTTGTCCCAACCTACCCTGGTAGGCCATTTGCCAGAGGCTCGAGTCGATATGGTGGTACTCTGCAGGATCATTTCCCGAAATCCTCTTCTCCAGCCTGTGGGGTCAGATAGGGTGTGTGTGTGTGTGAACAAGGGCCAGCTCTTGCCAATGCCATGCCTATTACTCAGAACCACTTTTGGGTAAGAGCTCCTACCCCCAAGCCTCTCTCTACCTTTTTCCTGCCCCTATCCTTCCTGGTTCACCTCAAATGCAGTGTCCACAATCTCATCAATGACAGATGCTTGGGAACGAAACTTCTGTTGATGCTGCTCCACCGATGCCACCAACTGCAGGTACTGGAAGTGGAGCTCCCGCTGCCTGGAGGTGGGCAGAAGCAAAGGCTGGCTTCCTGTAGCCCCAACGCGGCTCTGCTTGCTATGACCTACCTACCTCCAGTATGCCTCTTTTTATAGATTTTACTTGGCAGTTATTTTTGTGTGTGTATATGTTTCTGTACGCATGTGTACATTTCCTCACCTCAGCACTGGGATTGCAGGTGCAGGCATGCACAGCCACACCTCGTGTTTGACCTGGGTCTTAGGATCCAAACTCAGGTCCTCATTGCTTGCAAGAAGAGCACATTACAGACTTAGCCGTCTCTTCTAGCTCCTAACATTTTTATTTTGAGATGAGTTCCCACTGAGTTGTCAAGACTGGCTTTGAACTTGTGATCCTTTCACCTCAGCCTCCCAAGGAGCTGAAGTTACCAGTGTACACCATTATACCTGGTAAGCCTGCCTGTTGTCCAGTACCCAGCATGTCCCTGTCTGTGCCATAGAGGCAACAGCAATGGTTTATCTTTTAACCGACTACCCCACCATATACTTATTTTTACACTCACCTTTTTTCGGACTCATGGACCAACTCAACCACCTGCCTGTGCTGATTCACTCACTCATCTGTCCAACCACTGCACTCTTCCACACTTACCTACTGCTCTACCTACCTGTTCTTCCCTGGCTCCTCCCACTCAGTCTAAACAACCATCCATCCACCCATCTGTATTCATCTATGTTCACTACTCACTCATCCACTCATTGGATCTTATCAATCCATTTGCCAAAAACACTGGAAATAGAAAAAGCAAGTTGCTCCAAGGATACTGAGATGAACAAGGAAGAGGTATTACTTTTGGGACCAGACAGCTACAACACATTATAAGTGTCAACACAATGCTGAGGGTCTGTGTCAGAGGAAATAGCCTGGACTTTATCCAGAGGGGGAAGGAGGAGCTAAGATCAGACCTTAAGCTCAACAGAGAGTGAAAAGCCAAAACTATACTGAAAGGTACTCTTAGCAGAGGGGACCAGTAGGGACAATACCCTCTAAAGAAGTCTGGCAGAGGCTACAGTGGTGGCTCAGATTCTGGAACATGTAGGATGATCAGGAGAGTAACCCCAGGTGACAGTAGTCAGGATTTAAGTTGGCTCCCTTAAATCCTGGTCACCTGAGCATGGCATCAATATCTAACCAAAAACAATAGTGTAGGCAGAGGCCTGGCAGGAGTCAATATGTCATCTTAGGAAAGGATGTGGACAACACAAATTTGTGCAGCATGGCATCAATATCTAACCAAAAACAATAGTGTAGGCAGAGGCCTGGAAGGAGTCAATATGTCATCTTAGGAAAGGATGTGGACAACACAAGTTTGTGTCATAGGGAGCAATAGCTGTGATATGAGGGGAGCTGGCACACTAGCCTATTGTACAGGAGCCTGGATGCAAACTGCTGATCTTGGATTCTCTCAAGGTATGCAGAGCCCAAAGGCTGTCAGCTCTTGGTATGCCCTGTGTATAGTGGTTTGGAGCCAGACTGGCTGTGGGGTGGAGGCACAGGGCTTGGATTCCACAATGAACCTCAAGAGAATTAGGCCTAAGAACCAAGAAACAGCAGCCTGTTGCCAAGTACCCTAGTCTTCAGCAGGAAGCTTTGGCAACCTGGCCAGGGATAGACAGGGATAG